GATAGATAGATAGATAGATAGATAGATAGATAGATAGATAGATAGATGGATGCATGCAGAGTGTGAGAACCTGGCTCCGTGTTGCAGGAGGATGAACCTGACTCCGGGCGTGCTGCTGCTCCTGTGTGTCTCCGTGAGGTCGGTGCCCATCGATCGCAATGCGGGGGGGGGCCAGGAGCCCAAACAGGAGGCGCAGGAGGAGAACATGGTGAGCCCGTGTGGTGTGGGGGGTGGGGCGGGGTCAGCCGAAAGGGCGGCGTTAAAAATTCCCCCCTGTGCTTTCCAGGACACGGGCCTCTACTACGACCGATATCTCCGGGAGGTGATCGAGGTGCTGGAGACCGACCCCCACTTCCGGGAGAAGCTCCAGACGGCCAACACGGAGGACATTAAGGTCAGTTCCCGGCCCGGCTGTGCGGATTGTGTTCCTGTCCGCCTCGTTCTGACCCAGGCCGGTGTCTGTTAGCAGAACGGCCGCCTCAGTAAAGAGCTGGACCTGGTGGGGCATCATGTCAGGACCCGACTGGACGAGCTGAAGCGCCAGGAGGTTTCCCGCCTCCGGATGCTGCTGAAGGCCAAACTGGACAGCACCAACACACAGAGTGAGCCCACGTGTCCCAGGACATGAATGGAAACTCGAGCTCGGCCCACCACCTGGAAAAGCCCAACCTAAATGGTAGCGTGGTTTCTAATGAGTCCTTCTCCTTTTCAGGCCTCCAGATGGACCACACCTCGCTTCTCAAGCAGTTTGAACATCTGGACCCGCACAATCAAAACACCTTCGAGGCCAAAGACCTGGAGCTTCTAATTTCAACGGTAAACGCCCAAACCTCCATCTGAAGGTAGACGCAGACCTTTAGGCCAATTCCCCAACGGCTTTTGTCTCCCTCCTCCCCTGCAGGCCACTAAGGACCTGGAGAACTACGACGCCGAGAGGCACGAGGAGTTCAAGCGCTACGAGATGCTGAAGGAGCACGAGAGGAGGGAGTACCTGAAGAGCCTGGACCAGGAGAAGAGGGAGAAGGAGGAGAAGAGGCTGCAGGAGCTGAAGGAGAAGCACCGCCAGCACCCCAAAGTCAACGCCCCGGTAGGAGCGCCTCCTCTCGTGTGGGACGGGGAAAGGGGAGCAAATGGCTGTGCGGGTCCTGATTCTGATTGGTTGTGAATCTCAGGGCAGCGTTGCTCAGCTGAGGGAGGTTTGGGAGGAGACGGACGGGCTGGATCCTCAGGAGTTCAACCCCAAAACCTTCTTCAAACTGCACGGTGGGTAGAAACTCTCCTCCTGCTTCTGGTGCTCTTCCTCTGGTGTCCGGTACGTGGCCAAAGCCTCCTCTTCCTCTTTGATCTGTGCAGACACGAACGAAGACGGCGTTTTGGACGAGCAGGAGCTGGAGGCGCTCTTCACAAAGGAGGTAAAGCGGGTGGTTTGGTCCCTCCTGAGGAGACCAAGATGGTTGGCTTTATCTTCACTCAACAGCGTCCTGGGGAACTAACAAAAGGTCGATCTTTTTCCTGGAACTGTTTCTGACATGTGCCCCTGTCCCTGCTCCAGCTGGAGAAGGTGTACAACCCAAAGAACGAGGAGGACGACATGATGGAAATGGAGGAGGAGAGGCTGAGGATGAGGGAGCACGTCATGAACAATGTACGCTCCCTTTACTCTGCTTTGCTCGGTGAGAGCTTCCTCACGTTTGCTTCATCTGATGAAGATTGTCTCTCTCTTTGTTTTTTTTAAAGGTGGATACAAACAAAGACCGACTGGTCAGCCTGGAGGAATTCCTCAAATCCACAGAGAAAAAGGAGTTCAGTAATCCCAAAGAGTGGGAGGTAAGGGACTGGGAAGGGGGGAGGTGATGAGAGGCTGTGGTGGAGTCCCAGAAGAGCATCAATGCCATCAAGTGGCTTAAATAGACGTTAAAAACAATGATTTCTCTGTCCAGTGAATACAGACTCTCTTTTATTACAAAGAGAAATTAAGAAAAAATCATCATCATTTCAAGGATTGATGTTTTAGTGGATCTGCACACTGATGCTGCATGAGGCGGTCATGACCTTTTATAAATGTAAAGATAAAGCCAAACCGTGGCCTTATGTGTGAAGAATACTCATCAAGCCATATTTATTATGTTTTTCATCCAAAATAAGACCGGTCCTGTAAGTGGTCAAAGGTTCCAGTGACTCACAGGAGGCCGTTTTTTCCTGCCAGTGCTTATCTGTGTCCTGCAATGTTCTCCAGACTCTGGACGCAAACCCGGTGTACACGGAGGAAGAGCTCCAGCGGTTCGAAGCCGAACTCCGAGACAAAGAGGAGGAGCTGAAGCGGAAGGCGGAGACTCTGCGTCAGGAGCAGGAGCTGCTGAAGGAGCGAGGCAAAGCCCTGGAGGCCCAGAGGAGAGAGTACCAGCAGGTGACTGGGAACGGGGTTCTTCCAGAAAGAAGGGCGCAGGAATAGAATATCAGTAAGATTAACTCGTTGGCTGCCAAAGACGTCTATAGACGTCTTTTATGTTTTTCAACGAGAGTGGCTTGGGGGACGATCTGCTAAAGCTTGTCCGTAAATATCAGGCTTCTAGACAGAGTATGTAGTAACAAATTGACCCTCTAGGGGGCAGTGCCACTTTTGATGGGAGATGAGCATAGACTGTAGGCAAATAAGAAAAAGGTAACGGTTCGATATGAGAGAACATGTCGCCGGTGAGACGTAAGTCGAGGAAGAACGGAAAAAGGTAGAAACAATTGTTTTTTCCTGATGAAAGGAGAGAGTCTATTCTTTCTTTTGGTGTGTTCGGTGTTTACATAGTCATAGCACAAACTATTCTGTGGCTCTTGAAAAATCAGTCAAAATGCTCAAAAAACTCTGGCAGTATGGGACTCTCTGTTCTGAAAATGGCTGGCAGTCAATGAGTTAATGAGGCTGGGAAATAAACAGAAAATAAACAGAAAACGAGTCGATCGGTGAGGAAGAGAGCCGGGTTTAAAGTGGGGAAATGATCAGAAATCTTCCCGTCTGAGTAAACAAATCTGTCTTTGCTTTAGCTAAACATAACGGGGCAGATGTGAGCGGCTCGACGGGGAACTGAAAGGTTCCCGCCATTTTACGGCTGCAGAGCAGACGCTGATCTGTGAAAGCCCACGGCCGCCCGGGGCTGTTTCTGAGTGGTTTCTGAAGCAAACCTGGTCTGACAGACGGATGCATAACTTTGATAAAGAGGCACTGATAACCAGTGAGTTGTTTAAAAGGATTCCCATCCTTCCTTTTTATATTTAGACTTTAAAACTGCTCTCAGGATTTGGTGAATGAAGCCTTTAGGAACCTTTTAGATGCTCAGCTACACTCATGGGCAAATATCGGTTTGCTTTCTTTTCTTCTGCTGTTACATAAATTTTGTAATGAATTATCTGACTTCAACTCTAAAATCAAAATAGAACATTTAAATCCCTCCTGTGTCTATGGGCTCTGTGGGTAAAGTCAGAGGCTCCACGCATGTAATCAAGTAAATGTAAACCTTTCCGCATATTTCTGAAGAAAAATAATGAAGCGTGAGTCAACAATAATCTGACAAAAACCTTGGAAATCTACTTTAATTCATTTAGTTTAGGATTTCTTTTGTTGGACGAAAGAAGACGTCATAAAATGTGACCCAACATGAGTTGATGGTGACTTAGAATATGTCCAGATGGTCGCTCTGCTCTAATAAAATCTATTTAAATCTATAATTATTGACTTAAACTGGACTAAATCAGCTTTCACGTTATCATGAAAACATTTGCACATCATCAGAGAGAGTTGGAAGATGTCTTGAAAGTGTTTTTTTCCACATATTGTTAATTAAATGGGCAGCGTGAATGAAAACTGTAACAAAGAGCCCAGCTGAATAGATCTGATTGGCCCGAATGGTCTTGGATCAGGAATGGTCTGGATTTAAGGTTGTTTTGGACCTCATCACTCATCCAGCCTTTTAAAAACATCTGTTTGAAAACTCCAGAGGGGCAGCCACCTCCACAGCTGGACGGGCCAGCTGACCTCTGACCTCTGCTGCTATTGTGAACGGACCGGAGCAGCTGGCCCCGTCAATACAAACAGGAAGTGAGCATTCAATGGCCGCTGGGTGGAACGGCTCCTTTTGTTGCAGTCCAGTCGCCGCCCAACATGTCGCCTCTCCTCCTCTTCCTCCGTCTCCGGCCGCAGACCCCCGAACACTTTTCATCTGGTCACTGAAGTAAACCCCCACTGACACCATGTTGTCCTGCACAGTGACTCGCAAAGGAGGCTTAAAACCATAAGAAAATCCACCCAGGTCATTTTTTCTGACTCTTAATATTTCAAGCGGAACTATTTAAGTGGTTTTTAAACACAAATCTCCCCAAAGGTCCTGTTGTTTATGTTCCCGTGAGCCTGTTTTCTCCCCCCGGACACTTTAAACGACAACTATGGCTGCTAGCTGCGCAGGTTTCCAGATAACCGAGTTCACGATCCCAAAACCCCGAGCCAACACAAACAGTTTAAACATTCGTGCGCGGCTGGGAAGCGCCTCCCACTTTTCTCTGGCCTCTCGGAGCAAAGCAGGTTCAGATCCGATGCTCCCTTAAGGGAATTTGATTTGGTAAAAAACTGGTGGCTGAATGAGTCCAGAAGGAGTGGGGAACATTTTTAGATGGCTCCTGCCCTCTGGCTCTGCCTTTTTTTTGGCTCCGTTGTCTGTATTTTTCCCAAATTCGAGAATCTACTTATGTTGCAAACTCAAAAAATCAGCCCTTGTAGCAAGTTTAGCTCCCCTTAAGCAGTTTTGGGCCTTTTATTGCTGTGTCTGATTAAATATTTACCCCATTTGTGCCTTTTAGAGTCATTTTGTCACCTGATTTCTTCTTCATAACCCTCTCAAATCCTACTTATCCCTCTTATCAGCTAGCCTCGTCCCCACCTGCCCCCCCCCAACTCCACTTTTCCAGCTGCAGATCGCATACCAACGTGGCTCGTTACA